ATGCTTCATCCGCAGACGGTTCAAAAAATTTGAGAGATCTTTGGCAAAGCGGAAGTGGATCTCTTCGCCTCAAAAGACAACTCTCATTGCCCAATTTATTATTCCAGGGACAAGGGCCACGACTGGCCCAACCTCCATCTCTATGTTTTTCCCTCGATCGCCCTGATCCTGCAGGTAATCAGATGAATCAGGGAACAAGAACGCAAGGTTCTCCTGGTGGCCCCACTCTGGAGAAACCAGCATTGGTTATCAGAGCTGTCGCAGCTGATCATAGTAGCCCCATGGCCCATTCCCCTGAGGCGGGATCTCCTTTCTCAGGCGAACAGGACGAGATGGCACCCCCAACCCGAGCTGTGGGCTCTGCATCTTTGGCCACTCGACGGGCACCTGCAAGCCTCCAGAGTGTGCTCTAAACACCATTTCTCAGGCTAGAGCTCCATCTACAAGACGCCTCTATGCCCTTAAGTGGTCTGTGTTCTCCACCTGGTGCATAACCCGCAGCAAGGACCTGTCTGTCTGTGACGTATCAGTGATATTGTCTTTTCTGCAAGAGCTGTTAGATAAGGGGCGCTCCCCATCCCCATCAAGGTCTATGTAGCGGCTATAACGGCTTCTCATGCCCCTGTAGCAGGCCAGATACAACCTTGTTGTCCGTTTTCTGAGGGGGGCTAGGAGGCTGAATCCGCCTCGTCACCTCACTGTCCCTACGTGGGACCTGTCCACTGTTCTGAGGGCACTGAAGGGTCCTCCCTTTTGAGCCGCTGCAGTCTGTTGACCTTCGGACCCTGTCGTTGAAAACTGTTCTGCTGCTAGCTTTAGCATCGGTCAAACGAATGGGTGACTTACAGGCGCTCTCTGTGAGCCCTACCTGCCTGGAGTTCGGGCCTGGCGACTCTAAGGTTGTCCTGAAACCGAGGCATGGTTATATACCTAAGGTGCTCTCTACTCCATTCAGGGCACAGGTCATTTCACTCTCTGTGCTTCCTCCATCAGAAGAGGACCAGGAGTTGGATTTACTCTGCCCCGTCAGAGCCCTGAAACTTTACAGAGCATTCCGCCCTGTTTAGGCAGTCTGAACAGCTCTTTGTTTGCTTCGGTGGCCGCGCTAAAGGGCATCCAGTAACGAAGCAGAGACTTTCTAAGTGGATAGTTGATGCTATTATGCTAGCCTACTCTTCCTTGGGCCTGCAATGCCTCATTGGAGTATGAGCCCGTTCAACTAGAGGGCTCTTCTTGGGCATGGTCTAGCGGTGTGTCTATTGCAGAAATTTGTGCGGCGGACGGTTGGGCCTCGCCGTCCACATTTGCTAGGTTTTATAACCTGGACGTCCCTGCCTTGCAGGCTAGTATTCTTTCTGCATAACTGTACGCAGTACCGGTCTGAGCAGGAGTGCAAGTCTTCTGGAATGATCACTCAGGCGTGACCTCTGTGAGCTTAGCCCGTTCGCCTTGGGAGGTGTTTGCTATTCTTGTCTAGGTGCCTAGGGCAAGGATACACTTGTAGTCGTTTCTCTGCCATAGCACGGCATGATTGTACTGGTTCCCATAGCATCTTACATTGTCGAAATCATACTCTAGATTTAATACTGTCACATGGAATTGATGTTGATGGCGTTGAAATTATGCAGCCAAGCGATGATATCTCAGATAATTATTTAGTCTTGTGCAAACTTCATGTAACAAGGAGTAGAATTTACAGTTTTAGCTATAAGTACGGTAGAACCATCACTTCTACCACAAAAGACTGCTTTGTAAGTAATCTTCCTGATTTATCCCAATTCCTTAGCATATCCAAAACCTCAGAACAACTTGATGATGTAACAGAAACTATGGACTCTCTCTTTTCTAGCATTTTAGATACGGTTGCTCCTTTACACTTAAGGAAGATTAAGGAAAACAGTCTGACACCGTGGTATAATGAGCACACTCGCACCCTAAAGAGAGCAGTCCGGAAAATGGAACGCAGCTGGAGGAAAACAGAACTAGAGGTATTTCATATTGCTTGGCGGGAAAGTAACCTATCCTACAGAAAAGCATTAAAAACTGCTAGATCTGATTACTTTTCGTCTCTTTTAGAAGAAAATAAACATAACCCCAAGTATTTATTCAATACAGTGGCTAAATTAACGAAAAATAAAGCATCAACAGGTGTTGACATTTCCCAACAGCACAGCAGTAATGACTTTATGAACTACTTTACTTCCAAGATCGATACTATTAGAGATAAAATTGTAACCATGCAGCCGTCAGCTACAGTATCACATCAGATAGTGTGCTATAGATCGCCTGAGGAACAATTCCACTCATTCTCTACTATAGAAGAGGAAGATTTGTATAAACTTAAATCATCTAAACCAAAAACATGTTAGACCCTATTCCATTTAATCTCCTAAAAGAAGTGCTTCCAGAAGTCATAGATCCTCTTCTGGAAGCACCTCTTTTAGGAGCTTAGATGGAATAGGGTCTAAC